CAGGCATTACACTTTGCCTTTTCTTTTTCTTTTTTAGTGTAGTGGAGCCTCACTTCAGAGTGTTTACCGCGACCTATCTTTGGTGTTATGAAGTGACTGAGCTCGTGAAATGTCTACGGGAGGGCGGGGGAGCATCGCTGCGGGGCAACTGTGGACCTCTGTCGCCTGTCAGCGCAATTTATATGATGCCGTTTAAAAAAATTAAGGGCGGTGCCGGCCGTCAGCGTACCGAGCCGGCCGTCAACGGCCCGCTGACGACCGGCCGTTCTGTGATTCTCCAGGTCCGCCCTGTATTCCACCGGGTCACCGCGGTGCAGACGGACCCGCTGGAATACAGGGTCTACCGCGTTTAGGAACCGTTAAGCAGAACCGAAATTGTGTATTTTGTATGGGTACCCGGTACCCGGCATTTTCTTATCGGTTCTCATCTGGAACCGAGTTTCGGTTCCCAACCCTAAGGAGACCAAAATATGTTAAAAATTGTCCTTGTCGGCTGAGTCATCGTGCTCGTCCTCCTCCGACGCGTAAGCCAGCAAGGGCATTTGGTACGAAGGGGAAGGGGCAGCTTCTCCCTCAAAAAATGGGATAGTGAAACAGAGTTCCTCAAAAAATGGGATATTGGAACAAAGTCCACACCGGCTATATCCACCTGTTTCAGCGGAGAGTGGAGTCCCCTGTGCCGTCTTGGCTTGCCGTGTCTTTGTCCCCCCGATCCGCTGACGGCGGCTTCTGGGCTGCCTGCTAGAGAGATGTCTTCCCGATCCTCCTTCTCCGGCCTGCTGATGATGCCTCCCGATCCTCCGGCCCGCTGACGACGCCTCGAGGTTCTTCTCCTCCAGTCTGCTGATGACAGCTTCCGAGTCGACCTCCTTGACGAGAGCCAGATCCGTCCTGATGTCGTCCCCTGGTCCTAGCAGGTGGTTTCCCCGCCGCACACTGGCTCCAGCTGTCCCCCTTTCCTCCTAGACGGACGGCAGAGATCCGCTGGGTCACTCGGTCGGGGCCGGAGAGCCTGGGGTTGAGCCACTTTGTCCTGATGACCTTCAGCCAGATGAACTCCGCTGTGTCGGCCTCCTGGGTCCCTCTTTTGGCGCCAGCAACCTGTGTGGAGAAATCTGATACAAATCCCTCAAGCCTACGCTCAGGGCTCCGGGGCCCTCAGCTGTTTGACCCACCACTGCGTAGGCCGCTTGGAGCCTGTTGGTGGGGTGTCTTAAAACAACAGCCGTCTGGGAACAGGTTTTCTAAATTAATTGTAGACCTCCTATCTGCCAGTGCAGCTTCAGAATCTTAATACTTGGACTGTGCCAACTAAATAAGAACCCCAACATCTTTAGGTAAACTAAATAACATATTTCAATAGCTCTGAATTTCTGACAAGCATCTGTGTTATTCTTAAATGAAATCCTTGAGATCCCATTTAAAATCTAAATATAATATGAACTGCTAATGTTTCTGGTAAAGAAACACACTAATGTTATGGATTCAAAAACAACCAAAATCACGATACTGACAAAGTGAATGATTTCCTGGTGATACTGCTTCTACCTGTCAGTGCTTAGATATTATCAAGCTGAAAAAATGAATACAGAATTCCAACAAACTGTCATCAAATGTCTTTCTATTATGAATTTAGATGAAATGTATATCCCCATAATGACCTAAACAATAAAGTCTATGGCTTTTACTTCTTTACCAGGCTAGTTACATGATGTTGTCTAAATTAAATGCTGTCTCATTACATTACTATGTTTTAGCTTTAACTGTAATATGTTCTTTCTTCATTTTAAACCTCAGTTACTTTTATACCTGTTGAAACATTACTCACAGGTCAACTTCTTCAGTATTCCATTCTGGAATTACATCTCTCACAGTAGCCCCTTGGCCACTGATTCTGTATCTGTGTTACCTGTTATAACTCAATCAATATTAGAAACATGTCAACATTCACCAAACAGTATCTTATCCCCAGATATGGAGCAGGTTAATTCTAAAACTGTCAATCAATGGTCAGACACTCCCCCTTTTGTTACACATGAACCCATGTGTAACAAAATCCTGTATGGGAAGAAAACCTTTAGGTAATAATTGATTATAAGAAAATACCAAACATTATTCACAAATGTACATCCATCATTTTCCACAGTAAACACTCCAGTGAAATGAAGTGTTTCTCTCCATCTTTCAGTCCTAAAAGAAACAGAATCTTCATGTTTTAGTTTGAGTTTTTAGTTTTTTTAATATTTTTTAGTTTTTTTTTAGTTTTAGTTTGAGTTTTGAGTTCTGTGGGAATGAAATATCAAGTAGATTAGAAACGGGTCACACATTTTTAGGAAACCTCTCATTTCCCACAGAGCCCCAGAATAATGTGTTAGTCCAAAAGCATGCTTGATTAGTCATTGTTTTAAATCATGCAGTTGCACTGATCACATGCAGACATACACTCACTCACACTGTCAGGTTGTAAAGTCTTGTTTGGTCAGGTTCACCCCAGAGTCAGTCATTGACAGTGCCTTCTCAAGTCACACTGTCCAGGGTCAAAGGTCATTTGGTCTCAGTCTTTTTGGCCATGTGTCGTGCTCTGCAGAGACTTTGATATTTCAGCTTAGGCCAGTATCCTTTGTCTACAAAAATCAGTCATCATTTATTAATTCACGATTACAACTATAATTTTCCAGATATCTCTAACTTTTCATTGGGACAGCTGTTTCCCACATTCCCTGCAACTTGGTACAAAACTCACTTCCTTATAGTACTACTACTGCAGTTCATTAACACCTAATCTTATATTAAAATGTCTAATAGATCAGAAACTTGTGCATATAATTATTTTCTTGAGTCAAAACATGATTAGGATCTGTAAAGCTCTGCTATGTATTTCATAACTCATTATATTAATTTATCTTCAATTCTGGTGCACTTAAAGAACAATGTTACCCTCTTTAACAGTGCGTGGAACCTTGGGTGTCCGAACATGCAACAATTACTCCTTCCTTTTATCAAGAATTTAAAAACAGAAGTCATTTCGTATGTCCATCCGAAAGCCCTCCTATGGTAATAACAATGCCACAATGGTGAAACCAGTACCTCAAATTGAAATACTATATTTGGTTTAGAACGTGCTTTCCCTTCAACATGACCTATATAAATACATATTTGTCTGATCTTATAGAGATGTTACTAAAACTCTCCCTTTGAACTGATCAATACTGTAACAAATTAAAACACTACCAAATTCACACATGAATAAAAACTCTAAAAGAATAATTTGTAAATATGATGAAAAGATTGAAGAATATGGTTATACACTATACTCCTAACTCCCAAACACCCACTACTTAAAGTCTAGTGCATACTTCCATCATGCCCCCCCCCCCCTTTTCCATCAGTGTGTTTTAGGATGATTTTTCACTTCACTCTAATAGTTTTCCTCTTTACTGCTATTTTTTATTTACCAATTGATTAATTCATGGTTAATACATCTTCTTATCTTCACTTATTTATCAAGTCAATTCAAGTTCTTTAAATTTGGTTCTTTAAAATACATTAGTAGATACCTTGTGGAGTATTCACAATAACTAATCCTCTCTATGAAATCCGTTCATCTTTAAGCAGATACTATTTCCTTATTTATCTTTTGTTCATGATAACAATGGTATAACAACCACACGTTTTACCCATAGCTAGTTTCTATAACAAGATTATTATGTGTGACATAATAATCAGATGTCTTGTTTGCTAACCAAGAATATTAAACTTTAATCTTTTCAGTATTCCAGACCATCATTTAAACCAGCAGCCTCTTATCTAAACACTAAGCATGAAGGTTTCTACACCACCCCCTGGGAAACTCTTGCACAATTATGCTGTAAAATCATTGCATCATTCCTTCAGAGTCTGAACAATCTGAGACAAGCATGTCTCAAGATCTTGTCATAATGAGCACAGTTAGTGATGCAGCTGTAGTTAGTGGCAGGGTCCCCAAAAAAGCTAGGACCGGCCCTGGTCAGTGGGCTCCAAGGAAACTCTCCCTGGCATTGGGATGAGGGAAGGAATCACTTGGCAGACACACGTTGTCCTCTGTACAGCAGAAATCCCCCAAAACCGCAGTACCTCTTCACACCACTGTTGCCTTGGCAACGAGGCACAAGCAACATGTCAATATCTCCTCAGAGATGCGTTCTTTGCACACTTCTTCTGTTTGCAGTGAGCAACTCTTCACCAACACACTGATTCAGAGAACCCAAAAGGTGGTGCAGGAATATCCAATGCTGCTGTAATCACAGCCATTCACAAACATTTGTATCATCTGTTGTAGAACCCAAATACATTAAATCAAATAAGAACTCATTCTCAAAAAAGATAAACGCCATTCTTAAAATGTATAAACGAACAATAGTTTGATTAATATTGATTAGAGTGCACAATAGAAATAAAAATAATTTAGAGAAGAAAAAGAGATATGTTATCTATCAAAACCCAGTTAGATTAACATTCATTGGATGCACACTTTGTTTGTTTGGATATGTAGCACATTAACATTTTAATAGCACTTAATGACTGACTGAATGGAAATGACAATAAATGAAAATGTAAAACGAAAAAAGCGATCATGAAAATGTTTCCAATAAATGAATAAAATGATTTTTGACCACTTTGTTGTTCAGATATATCACATATTTGTAACTAAATGATACATGAATTGCAACAAAACACGGTATAGACTGAGGAGTGACTCCCGTGAGGTTCATGTGTTTTCTTCACTCCGCTGGGAAACTGCTCTCATGTCAAGAAGCATCAGATCAGTGCATGCGCTGCATCGTCCAATCAGTGAGCGATACACAGTAAGGGGGCGGGGCGAGTGTCTGAGTATTTCATCGATGGATGGTCTGGTGGTTCCTCGGTTATAGCTCCTCCATTATCGCTCCTCGTTCCTCGCTCCTCTGGCAGAAATAAGGCCATTGGGACGCTACTCAAGATGGCGCAGACAAATCAACTTCCGGTGATACCGAAGAGCGAGGAAATGAAAAATAAGAGAAGTGAGAAGGGCCCTATGATTGAGGGGCTTTTCGGATCATGGGCAGAATATGTAGGCTAGTTTTCACTGACCACTGGCTCACTCTAGTGGACCGTTGGCGAATTGCAAACTTGTGCTGCACAGAAAACATATTCGTTACAATTATCTTAGTCATTGTTAAAAAACAACAACAACAACAATAACAGTTTGCTGTATTAATAAAGTGGTAGCAATACGAAGTTTATCGTTAACTGTCTCTTTAAATCGACCGAGACGGAGGTCAGTATTTGGCAGGAAGTTAGCTAGCAGCTAACAGGAAGCCGAATTATGAGGACTCATTGAGGCGCAGGAATTGGCAAAGAGCAACGAGTCCAACATTGGTCGTTACAGTCGTTACAGTCGTTACATCTCCCCCTGAAACAGGTAACACAAACAAAGTCTCTCCTTAACGCCTTTAAATATTTATATTCTGCTGTTTGGTTGTGTGTCCGTGGTTTCGTGTGTGTGTTGTGTTTCCATCGTGGCGGGTCAGTGCTCTGCATCAGTACAGACAAGGCTCATGTGCTTAACGTTACTACCAGAAGAGTTGAGTGTATTAATATCCATAACTCTTTATAAGCGTGCTGTTTAAAGTCACTGTCAGTCTGTGCGTTGTGTACCATGGTTACTTGTTGTGACCCAGGTAACTTTGACCTGCAGCTCTAATACGCTTACAGAAGCTTTGGAACACATGCAGGATCTATCCATTTGGGTTCTTGTGACACACACACACTCAGACACACTCACTCCTGAAAGTAGTCACAAGTTGTTACGAGAATTGCCTCAAAGATATTGCTCCATCAAGACCAGACATTACAATAAGCAGGAATACATGTTTAAACATCAGCCTGATATGAAAACAACCTACAAATTAATCACAGGCCTTGTACTATTTGAAGGGCTATAGGAATTCAAGACGTACATCTAAAAATAAGTACACACAATCAAACACTGCAGTTATGTGTGTGCCGGCCTGTCTATCAGCCAGCAGTTTCCTATTTATCAGTTTGAGTCACAGAGGGAGACATGAGTTTAAAAATGATATTGATTACTCAAGAGGACCATGTACTTCAATGCAGTGGCCTGCTCAATAGTAGACCCGCCCAATAAGGTCCTAAGGGAAGAGGGTCAGCCATCAAATCAAATCAAGTTTTATTTATATAGCACATTTATAAACGATCTTTGGTCGAGCCAAAGTGCTGTACATATAATAAAAATAGCCTACGGTAGAGACACTTTACAGCAAATACAACAGCACAGATTGTTCAGAATATCAGTATGAGAAAAACGACACCCTCTATCCATGGACCCTTCAGACTGGAGCCAAGTGGGTCTGCAAATAATTATCGATCAATTCATTTTTTGCACCGTAGATAATCATTATTATTGTAAATATTGCAATAGTAAAAATTGAATTACTACTCGCAAAATTATAATTACTGCACAACATAAAGTAGGTTAGCTCTCTAAAAAAGAAAATAATCATCAATGAAACTCTTAGATCTCTGGCTCCCCCCCAACAATGTTCATACAAATGTGTTTAAAAAGAAAATAATGTGAACAGGACAATGAGCAAAACTCATATTTGAGTGGATTGTAAATCAACTAATGGGCAAATCTTTGACTGATTAACGCTGCAGCATCATCATCGTCTTCATCTTCCTCACCGCAGGAGGAACAAGCAGCCAGCCAACTGTGTTTGAAGACAGAAGCCGCAATGGTGAGTAATTGAGAGAAAAACCATAGAAAGGCAGGGAAATACCAAATGTTAAACTTGTAACAATGTTTCTGGAGACAGTTGACCATCTAACCACTTACAATATTAGACATGGACTAAAGTCTGGCCTCAAACTCATTCCCTTTCTCTCCTAACCCCCCCTCTCTGTGGCAGTCTTCAGCGGTGGATCTCAAGACTAAAGAGGAGAAGGATGCCGAGTTGGACAGACGGATCGAAGCCCTGAGGAAGAAGAATGAAGCTCTGGTCAAGAGGTATCAGGTATGGAGGACTGTTTCACACAAACGCTCACTAAATGTATCTTTGCATCTACCCACAGTTGGTGATACATCTGCACTACACTCACATATATAAATATTAGGGCTGTCAAGTTAACGCGTTAACGCAAAAAAAAAATTACGCCACTAATTATTTTAACGGGATTAACGCATACATTTTTTTTCCTCGGCCGCCCCGTAGTTTCAGAGCGCATCGAGTTTAAAATACCATCTACAAGCTGATGCTGACAGCCCCGCTCCTGCCGCCCGCTTGTGGCAGACCACACTTCCACGCTCACCGGCAAGCACCGACTGGCTGTTGGGAGGACCGGGAGGGTGTGTGTGGCCCGAGCGTTCGAGAGAGAGACCTTACGTGTATTGTTGTTGTTAGCATCTGGTGCTAGCTAGCAGCGCTAACGGATATAAGGAGCTGTTTAAATGAAAACAGAGGAGCGACATTTCGCCGACAACTGCGCCGAGCACTTGACTTTATGCAGGAAGCCAGACAGTGGGACAATGTACGAAAAGTCAGCACACTCAGCACGGATAGTGCGCGCAACATGATTGCAGCGTCCAGGCAGCTCCGGTTCGAGCATATGCCTTGAGTTGCACATAGCTCCAACGATCCATCACACACACACACACACACACACGCACGCACACACACACACACACATACACACACACACACACACACACACACACACACACACACACATACACACACACACACACACACACACACACACACACTTTGTATTGTATTATTGAATGAGAGAGGTTCCAGGTTGAATTGAGGTGAATATTTGTAATGTTCAGAGGTTGTTGTGTTTAATATTCATGAGAATATTTGTCATTGTTCAAATGATAATAAACATTAGCATAAAGCATATTTGTCCACTCATATGTTGATAAGAGTATTAAAAACTTGAAAAAATATTCCTCTAAGGTACATTTAGAACAGATAAAAAATGTGCGATTAACTATGGACAATCATGCGATTAATCGCGATTAAATATTTTAATCGACTGACAGCCCTAATAAATATATATATATATATATAGGGGATTATCACTCACTTTTTTTTTAAAACCAGAAGCTTTTCTTCACAATAACTGCAAAAGATTGGCTTTTACTTTATATATCTGTGGGGGAAACTTCTGAAGCAATTGGAGTCAGGACTCAGAGAGATGAGGAGAGCTGGAGCTTTGATGGCAAACAATGATGGTTTATTTGGAGCTTCGGCCGGAGAATTCACAAGACTTGTCACGGGCCACGGTTTGACCACACGGTTGAGATGCCACAATCAATTCTGAAGAACTCTACCCCAGACCCATGTATTTAGCTAGTTCAGAGAGCATCATCAACATGCTGCATAACAAGATAGAATCATAACACCTCTATCAGCTGACGCCAACAGGCAGGAACAGGGAGACAGAACACTGAGAGCACAGCAGCCAAGGTTCCAGGTGCATGTGCTCAGTCAGGACAGTATGAGCTGATACACTGGGTCAAAGTTATGGGCCTTGGAAAATATTTCCCCAACAATCTATTGCCATTCAATTGGTTTACGGTTTGAATTCAATTATATGGTCAATCCACCAATTTACTAAATAGGGTGGTTAGCTCATTCAATGTTTTTCACCGTATCTGCACTGATTCAAATCCATCAAAATGACCCTAGTGATGTGTAATTAATAGGTACAAAAATAATATTTTGGTTATGGGGTTCGAACATACATGCCCAAAATGTGCTCAGGATTAGCCTTGATAATATATTTTGGACAAATCTGTAGTCTCATATCACTCATGTTGTCACCTGATGTCAATAGGAAATTGAAGAAGACAAGAAGAAAGCAGAGCAGGAGGGCATCGCCGTGACAACCCAGCGTAAACCCCGCCCACACGAGCCGGAGGCAGACAGGAGGAAGACGGACAAAGAGAACTTCACCGTCACAGTCGACCTCTCTAAGCAGACAGGGGTAAGACATGATGTGCACCTGATTTAAATCATGCCACCTCTGCATAGGGACAGTTAATCATGATCACATTCATCCCATAAAACTATATAATATGACAAACCTTGATTTAACCATCATGCCCTGCACCAGCCTTCTGCCTGCTTCTTGTGTTACATATCTCGGGTGGTAGAAACATTTGGAATACATAGGTTTTTACAAACATACATCAAAACGAAGTGCCAGATCATAGTCACGTAAGACATTTGATATGTGTTGTTTTCCAGCTTTAAGCACATTCATGTTAAAAAGGCTGAGTTGTTAAATACAAGCATCATCATCAGAACTATGAAGAAACTACTTAATATGAGAAAAGATGAAACGGTGACACCTGCAGGAACATCTGGTTAAAATAACAGCAAAAAGTGATATTCCAATGTAAAAATACAACAACGTATTGTAGAAGAAAGTTGTAGAAACAATAGAAATAAGAGCAAAATATGTCTTTAGTGATAATTGTATTTTTTGTTACACAAACTATTCTAAATATATGATGAACAAAATGAGGTTATATCTGTATGGTGCCTGGTGGAATGTATTTGACAGAAATGTTGCTTTTGTAATTGTTGGAAATAGTGGATTATTTTCTTTGAATAGAAAAAATCTAATGGATATCACAAAAGGCTGAGCTGCAGGGATGGAATAAGAGCGTAAGTGTGGGAGAACAAATGTATTTGGAAAGCACCTTTAATCTTCATTATGTGTTTAGTTTAATAAATTATACATCTGTTTGTTTTAAAAATGTCAAACATCCTGTCAAATGAAGCTCAGCATAAATTCTTTCAGGAAGACTGGTTCCCACGCTTTCATTCACAATTCTCCCTCACTCACTCGCCCCCTTTCTCAATAAGCAAAAGGCGCAACTCACCCCAGCTAACCAATCGGCTGCGTCTTATTTCCCACAGCCAATCAGCACACCAGGCAAAACGTTTAAATCCGCTCTTCTCTCCCCCGTAGCATCGTTCAGGAGAATTGATGCAAGCACAGTTATCTACTCGCTGCGTCACTCGACACGATAAAACAAATCCTGTCCGATTCGGACCAAGATCCCTTCCAGGAGGATTCGATCCCAGCAACATCTGCGAGACTGCTTCCACATCCTCAGGCGGCCGGCGCACCAGCGCCCGGTTAGCCTCCCAAACCGGCTCCCCCTCAGCAGAGACAGGCTTTCTCATTTCTCAACTCGACGAGCAGGGCATCTCCCCCGCTCCAGGCCTTCCCCTTTCTCAGCTCCGCGACTTGGCAGTACTCGCTACAAGCCGTCTTCCCAGGCAGGAGTCAGCCGATCCAGCAGGCCCCCTAACCGGGCGCACACGCAGGGGCAAAAGATCTTGCAAATCAGCCTACGCAGAGGCCCCTCCGGCTAAGAAGAAAAACCCTCTTCCCGCCAACCCTCTCTTCCCAGGGAGCTCCGCAGACCAGCAGACACCAGCATCATCTCATCGCTACAATCCCTGGCCAACTCCCTGCACAACATCGATGCACGGTTGCAATCTCTGGAGAGAGCATCCACCTCCGCCTCTTCCACTATCACTGCAGCTCAATTTTCTACGTCGCTCCCAGGGGTATGGCTAGAAAGGATCCGTCTCGTGTAAAACTCGCGAGAATTTGCAAGTCACGTGGCTGAATGTTTACTTTTGGCAGGCAGCCTTTCAGTTACGATCGTTAACATCAGTGGGCCACAGCAAATTATGGTGAGAAGCTAAACTAACTATTAATGGTGTCAATTACAGGGAGTGTGATTGTTGAAATAGGGTATTAGCGGTCTTGCTGTTCAAATAAGAATGACAACACCGTAGATCACCAACACCATGGTTTATTTTCACTTCCGCAAGACGGGGCCTATGCTCATTCCCTGGCCTCAGCCACTCTAGCCCTACCCCTAGGCAGACCTTACATGCCAAAGGCAGCTAACATTTCAAACCGGCTGAGGGCAAAAATACTACAAGGCAAAGTCATCAATTTGGTCAGCCTCCTTCTACCCTCTCCCGAGTGCGAAGCAAATATTGCCTCCGGGGGAGGAATAACAGCAGTCTTTAAGGCATCAGATCCCCGCCTCAATAGAGACCTTAATATCGGGCAGTTCCTTGTAGCTTTCGGAGTTTACAGGGACGTGATTTGCTCAGTTTATCCCGAGAGAAGACACGAGCTAGACTGCTACTTGGCGCTAATCGGGGATCTAAACCAGAATTACGCAAAACGTATTCCTGCATTACCATAAAAGCTTTCCTAGACCCTCCATGCGACAACTCCGGCACGTCCATTAACAAACTTAAACACTGCTTCCAGGCGCTCGGAGTTCCTCCGGCAAAAGAGAAAACATCGGGTCCCGTCTCCAGTCTGGAGTTTCTCGGCATCACCCTGAACTCCATCGATATGAAGGCATCCCTTCCCTCCGACAAACTGCAGCGCATTCGAGATATAGCGAAATCCCACAGCGAGGCAAAAAAAACAACAAAAAAAAAAACTCACAGAACAAAAACTGCTCTCTCTCCTCGGGCACCCGAATTTCGCCACGCGCGTCATCCCGCAAGGGCGCTCCTTCATCTCCCGCCTTCTCACGCCGGCGTCTTCCGTCAATAATCTCCACGACCTGATTTCCCTAGACGAGGGCTGCCGCTCCGATCTACGCTTCTGGTCCCACCTCCTCGACCACTGGAACGGCATCTCGTTCTTCTACGATGACCTGGTGCATTCCTCTGACTCCCTGAGGTTTTTCACAGACGCGGCCCCTTCCGCGGGTTTTGGGGGGTTTTCCAGGGAGAATGGTTCGCAGGCTCATGGCCGTCCCCCATCTCCCGTCTCGCTCCATCCTCCGCAATGCACGAAATGTACCCTGTAGCTTGTCACGTATGGGGCCATCTCTGGACACACACAAACGCATTTCAGTCCTATGCGACAACGAAGCAGCAGTATGCGTCATCAATAAAGGGTGGTCTTCCGCTAAAGACATGATGCCCTTTATGAGAAGCATCACATGGTCTTCAATCACTCATAACTTCATAATTTCAGCTTGCCACGTTCCTGGTCACCTCAACACTTTCGCTGACGCTCTCTCTCGTTCAACTTTCAGGCTTTCCGGAGAATCTGCCCAGACGCCAATCCACGACCGATCAGGATTCCCCCATTCCACCTCATAGCTCTATATTTAAATTCAACCCCATCACGGGCTACCTCGACTCAGCTAGAGCTTTATGAGAAGGCTTAGCCAAGTCTACTATCAAAACGTACGACTTTGCCTGGCATACATTTGCCATGTCTTGCGTCACACTACGCATGCCTCTTAAACCCGTTACTATCAACAAGGCGTGCGCCTTTATTTGCTATTGTACGGATGACCGGCATTTCAAGCCCCAGTACATTTGCAGCCTGCTCGTCGGCATCCAATTTAATATCAGATGCTATGACCCCAGCTCCGCAGCATTTTCTCTTATTCCATAGTCAAACTTATTCTCAGATCCGACCGTTATCCACACAGCGTTGGCTAACCAAAGATCTCTCAAACCTTAACACTGGTAAGATACGCATATAACTGGTGGTGGTGTAATTATTAGGGCTGTCAAGTTAACGCGTTAATAACGCGTTAACGCAAAAAAAAATTAACGCCACTAATTATTTTAACGCGATTTAACGCATGTGTATTTTTTTTCCTCGGCCGCCCCGTAGTTTCAGAGCGCATCGAGTTTAAAATACCATCTACAAGCTGATGCTGACAGCCCCGCTCCTGCCGCCCACTTGTGGCAGACCACACTTCCACGCTCACCGGCAGGCACCGACTGGCTATTGGGAGGACCGGGAGGGTGTGTGTATGTGTAGCTCGAGCGAGAGAGAGACCTTACGTGCATTGTTGTTGTTAGCATCTGGTGCTAGCTAGCTGCGCTAACGGATATGGAGCTGTTTAAATGAAAACAGAGGAGCGACATTTCGCCGACAACTGCGCCGAGCACTTGACTTTATGCAGGAAGCCAGACAGTGGGACATTGTACGAAAAGTCAGCACACTCAGCACGGATAGTGTGCGCAACATGATTGCAGCGTCCAGGCAGCTCCCGTTCGAGCATATGCCTTGAGTTGCACATAGCTCCAACGATCCATCACACACACACACACACACACACACACACACACACACACACACACACACACACACACACACACACACACACACACACACACACACACACACACACACACACACACACACACACACACGAAGGCGAATATTTGTAATGTTCAGAGGTTGTTGTGTTTAATATTCATGAGAATATTTGTCATTGTTCAAATGATAATAAACATTAGCATAAAGCATATTTGTCCACTCATATGTTGATAAGAGTATTAAAAACTTGAAAAATATTCCTCTGAGGTACATTTAGAACAGATCAAAAATGTGCGATTAATTATGGACAATCATGCGATTAATCGCGATTAAATATTTTAATCGACTGACAGCCCTAGTAATTATATCTCTCAGATACGTCGTATTACATGCAATGTCTCTCATTCCCTGCCCCTACTGTCTCTCATTCTCTACTCTCGTTCTCTAAACTGGAGCCTCACTCCATGCAACCAAATATACCAAAGGGCCGGGAGATCAGACCCTATTACAAGCCCATCAGCTCAGCGAGCCATCAGGAGCCATACTCCTGCCACATATCAAGGGGGAGATCAGAATATTTTTATTATTTTATTTAATGTTACAAAACAAAAATGACCATGTTCACGTCTTAAATTCATCCTGAGGCCTTAGTTTTGGTTTCAAATTACACAACATCATGTATGTGTTGCTTCTTTTGGGCTTGTTTTCATAGAACTATAGTGGAATGCTGTTTACAGCATTCCACTATAGTTCTTCAAATCTTTATTCTTCCCCTTAAACTTAAACTTAAACTTATTTCAGCCAATACTTTGGCACTCCATAACTTCAGCTTATTTTCAGCTACAGAAACCATTCAAATATTAAACTATTCAGCTTGTTCAGGAATCGATGGGAAAGCTTCAACTTTTTAAAAATATGTTATACTTTTTGAAATATTCAGCTTTTTAAACACTTATTCCCTGATGCTCACGGTCTGGTCATTTTTTGACAAGAGCCATAGTTTTTGAACAGGTGGCAAAATTGTCAGATATAATCCCCAATGCATTCTTATGGGACTCAGTGCTGCAGTTGGTTGACATGGTGTTGCTGGGCAGATTGGAGCCACACACACACACACACACACACACACACACACACACACACACACACACACACACACACACACGTGTGAGTGACATCATCAGAGCAGACACCATGGAAACCTTTGATCTCTGGGTTTACACACACAGGTGTTTGTAAACATTCAATCACTACTGCTTACATTTAATATCTTTATTTAACTCCTTCAGCCTAATTTCAGCTGCAGGAACCATTCAAATATCAAACTATTCAGCCTTTTCAGCACATGATGGGACACTTTCAACTTTTTCAAAATATGTTATACTTTTTAAAATATTCAGCTTTTTAAAGTCTTTTTTTAACATGGAAGTTATTGCAATGCATTTGAGCTGTAACAATTAACATACATACACACACACACACACACACACACACACACACACACACACACACACACACACACACACACACACACACACACACACACACTGTATTGTATGAGAGGTTCCAGGTTGAAAAGGGTTTTCATCAGTTTAGTGTGTGCCATCCAAATTGCTCTGCCTATTCTTGATTAGATTATCTTCATGTCCAGTCTGCCTTTCAATAGGGATGGGCATTTCAATCTTATCATCACTAGGAAATATTCTAGATTCATTCTTTGAAGATCTTTGCTGTTAATAGAGTGCAACAATATAAACAGAGGAAGAGAGTTCCGGCACCTAACGGCTGTCTGGGCCCAGCAAAGTCTCCTTTAAAGTGGAAACAAGGGAAGCAGCTGAATACATCTTGCACATTCTGAGAAGGTGTAGAAAAAGAAAATCTAAAACAGTATGCATGCAATTATTGCAATAGTTATGATAGAATAATAAACTTGTAGGGACATTTTGTCTGACATGTGTGCAGACTTTCAGATCTGAAGTGCTTTGCAGCCTGTGGGGCCCACTCTTTTGGCCCCTAGGCAGGGGTGCCGTCAGGGATTTTGGGCCCCATGAAAAGATATCACATTGGGCCCCACCACCAGGCCCAGGCCACGCCAACCAAGCACAATTGCTGTAACCACACCTCCAGAACCCAACCCACTCATTTATGCTTTAAATAACTCTACCTGTACAGGCTTGCATCTATCTTGTAGTCCAATAACTGCACAATATTTACTGACACTGAGCGGTGAAAATATAACACTGTGCAGACTGCAAATTCTACTGCACCATTCTGCTGCAGTATAATTCACTATTTGATATAACACTAACATTCCTGACAATAGATCTCAATAGTAATCTTTTATGGTGTACATGCCTTTTTAACATTTTTGAATGGAACATTTAAAAATATACATGACCTCTTAAATTAAAATAAAGTGAACATTAACACCAATATTATCATTTATAAAATGCTATAACAAAAAAAATAACATAAGCAGCAGATTTTTTAAATTAAATATACATGCCAACTACAAAATAAGCGGGTATTAAAGTGTAAATGGACAGGGCTGCGGAGCCTAAAGATGGATCTGTTGGTCCTGGCACCAGGGGGAGGGACAACTGATTTAGTATGAATAGCTGCTAAAAATGTACCTGCATTTATTAAATGTCAGCTAAAAGAGGAGTGAAATGAAAAACTTCTGCATTTTCTGTGAAGATATTAACAGTACTTAAAGGTGGGGTAGGTCATTTTGAAATTTTTGAATTTGAAAATACACAACAGGAAAAAATCTGCCACTTCCTTACAGAGCCCCTCCTCCAACACACACGAACGCGCACATGACCAATGAGGGCACGAGATAAGTTTGTGCACAGATGGAAGGCTGACAGGCAGTAGGCCATCCAGTTATTTTAGCCGGGCCAGCTAAAATGGACTACGCTTAGCTAACAGACTAATTTCCACCACTCATGGGCCACACCTACCTTTTCTTTTGAAAAACTGGGTGACATACTGTCACCCTTTAGTCCCTCTCTCTTGTCTTTCTCTCCTTTCTTTTCTTTCTTGAAAGCCTGACTTTGTTAGTCGTTGAGACATCGTACACACGTAAGTGTACTAGCATCCCTCCTCACATGCTCTCACTCTCTGCTAGAAAGGGCCGGTGCCGCACAGCGTTTGGAGGCAGGACCAAACCATTACATGTAAATAGAGGGGGGTGTTCGATGCTTTGGATAACTAACTTTTGGAAGAAAATAAGTTAAATGAATCGTAAGTTTAGTGAGTACATTATCAATATGACGTTATATTAATGTTAATTATTGATGATTGATGAAAAGTTACGTAAACATTTTTTCTTAATGTTCTACATTTTTTTGGGGCCCCTGTCAGTAACGGGCCCTTAGAATCGTCCTAACTTTTCACCCCCTTACGGTGCCCCTGCCCCTAGGGCACCCAGCGCACACAACATTGACATATCATCACCTTTAAGTTGATACTTAGTATTATTCAGTTTGTTGGCTCAAAATCTTGTTCTTCTATTAGCCAGACTGTTCTGTTTCTATTCAAACATCATATGAGAGAAATGTACATTACGTAATCCGTTATTGATCAGGATATTTACGCTGGCGTTGCATCGCTGAGGTTCTTGATAATCAGGCCTAATAGTCTACTTGCCAGCTCATAGTCTATTGTGAACCCGGAAATGTTGAGTACCCCAACGTTTTATGATAGAAATGTATAGTACGGATCCCCCGCACATAGAAACTGCCGGACTTGCATATGTTGGGCAATATGCACAATTGGCATAAATTGCCTTAATTAGCATATGCAGATAACTGCGAAATAAATGGCTTGGCCAATTTAGGCCATTTCTGAGTTTTTTTGGGAGGTTATTGAGGATGTTGACTCCAATTTCTGACATTTTGATGACCAGAAAGTAGGGTTGGGAACCGAAACTCGGTTCCAGATGAGAACCGATAAGAAAATGCTGGGTACCCATACAAAATACACAATTTCGGTTCTGATATACGGGTCCTAAACGCGGTAGACCCTGTATTCCACCGGGTCTGTCTGCGCCGCGGTGACCCGGTGGAATACAGGGGCAGACTTGCCATCTGTGTGTTCTGGAGAATCACAGAACAGCCAGCCGTCAACGGCCCGCTGACGGCCGGCTCGGTTCGCTGATGGCCGGCACAACCCCTAAAAGTCCTTGCTCTACAAGTAAAGATTAAAATATGTGACTGAGTAAATTTAGACAAATTCTCTGTGTGTGTTCCCTGCAGGACAAGAGAGTCGTAAACGATTGGAAACCTGTAACGCCTCGAGCTCGGAAAACCTCAGAGGAGAGTGATGCCCAGCGATGGCCCAGTGACGCCCAGCGATGGCCCAGCGAGGGCCACCGGGGGCCCAGCGAGGGCCACCGGGGGCCCAATGAGAGTCACCGGGGGCCCAGTGAGGGCCACCGCCGTGGTCCCGGTGAGGGCCAACGAGGGCAGAGCGACGGGCACAGAGAGCCATATGACAGCCCCCAAGGAGGTCCCAGTGAAGGCCAGCGGCGGCCAAACAGCGAGCACAGCCCCCAGAGGAAGATGGGGTCAGGACGAATGAGTCGGGGAGGTCAGAGAGGGGGGCGCCAGGAGAGGAGAGAATGGGAGCCCAGGACACCCAGAGAGGGAGAACCTGGGGAGGCGGGAGGACCGGGACGCAGAGGAGGAGGAGGGAGGAGAGGAAGAGGAGGAGAAGGAAGGGGGAGGGGGGGAGGAGAAGGAGGAGAAGGAACACCAGGTGGATCACCAGGTGGAACACCAGGTGGGACACCAGGTGGCCCAGACAGGAAATCCAAGGTGAGGATGAGCTTTATTGATCAAAGTGAATGTGCAGAAAATGGGGATAGAGAGGGGACTAGACTTGAAACCTGGCCACTCAGGAAGAGATACATCAATATGATCTCAATATTGGTCAAAAATAATTGTTATTATCAGTTTCGCCATTATCGTACAGCCCTACTACACGCGTTATACATTTGTTATAAGTTTACATGGAAGAGAAAGTGTTGGAATTTTATTTGACCAAGGCTTCTTTCAGACCAACATTATTCCTGCATGATTAAAGCCAGGCTTGTTCAGCAAAAAAGTTTGAGCCTCATTCTGAAGGCCAAGTTCACGTCCTACATTGTGATCTGTCACTGATGATGCTGCCCTGTGTTTTGGACAGGAGTGGGAGGAGAAGAGGAGACAGAACATTGAGAAGATGAATGAAGAAATGGAGAAAATAGCAGAATATGAGAGAGGACAGCAGGTAAGAGAGTCTCTGTTTATTAAGATTATTATTATTACTATACATATAAAGTGTTTCAACTCATGAGATGGCATCTCTCTTCTCACACTGTTATAATTGTCGGCTTTATTGTTGATCTTGAAACACTTAACTTTCTGAAGAAACTTGTTAAATGCAGAGGTTGCGCTAGACTTTTTCGCTGCCCATCATTTTGAGAGAGAGAGAGAGAGAATTTTTTTTTTTAAAAAACACTTTTATTCACAGAGCAAATAACCAAACGGACACATTGACACACATTGTCAGTTCAGACAACGACTGAAAATAAGATCCTCATTCTCCACAGAACACAAAGCGTTTTTAACCACATGGCCTCAAATTCTCCCACATTTTTTGTTAAGCAAAAGTAACCGTAGTCCGCTTTCAGTCTTGCTTTAACCATCCGCTTGAAAATCGAAACTGCATCGGTATCCAAAGATCCCGCAACTTTATTCCTCCTGCTGAGGTAAATGGCCGTTTTAGCCTGCCCCAACAAAAAATTCAAAAGCTGACTTTTGCACTTTTGCTTCTGGCTGTACCTCCAACCCAAAATGAACATTGACTTAGAAAAAACCACATTAAACAAAATCAACATCTGAGTGAGTAACTGAAAAAGACAAAGGAGTCGACCACATTCCGTAAAGCAATGAAAAATGGTTTCTCTCTGTTCACAGAAAGGACAGGCGTCAGACATTGTAGGGTTGATCACAGAAACAAACGCATTAACAGCTACCGCAGCATGGAGAGCCCTCCACTGGAGGTCCCCACCCCTCTTAGTCAGCGGAGGCTTGTAGAGCGCTCTCCACTCAGGCCTCTGAGCCTCCGTCAGGCCCAGGTGGGCTCTCCACCGGGTGTCCACTCGCTCTTGGAGTCTGCTCTGATTCAGAACCTTTGTCACCAAATAATAAAATGTTTTGTTGGACATGGTGCTAAACTTAAAATCAGTAACATTGTCCAACTTTAACAAAAACCCCTCACAACTGAGATCAGGAAAACATTGCATCTCTGGAAAAGAGTCATTGTCATTTGGAGACTTCAGTCCGTTACAGTGAGCAGCGATCAGCGCCAGCTCTGACTGGCTGAGCTGCTGCTTCCAGCTCTGCAGCAGGAGGCTGACCACCCGGACTGACCTGAGGCTCAGACGTGAGGCCAGGCCTGCAGCGTTGTCCAGATGAGGGCCACACACCTCCACCACCTGGCCCAGCGTGAAGATCCTCTCCTCACAGAGTCTCTGTTGTAGAGAAGGCCCTACTCCACACACAAACCGAGATCCACGGACCACCGGCTCTCTGAGGAGCCAGAACAGTGAGCCACGGCACTCTGGTCTCTCTTTTTTGAGTAGTCCCCACACCTTGAAGAGACCTCCATAGAAACCCGAGAGATTGTTCAGGCGTAATCCTTTCAGGTCCATTAGGAACAGCGACTCAGCCAGACCCAGCCCACCACAGCGCTCCAATAAGGCCCGAGCTACGGGTCTCCAGACCAGGTCAGCAGGTCCAGTCAGGAACCTCTGGACGAACCGGAGCCTGAAAGCATCCCCTCTGCTTGCCAGGTGAACCAGGCCATGTCCCCCCTCCTCCTTTGGCAGGAACAGGACGCTCTGAGGGACCCAGTGCATGCGGTCCCAGAAGAAGTCCACCATGAGAGCCTGCACCCTGGACAGCAGGTTTACGGGCGGGTCGGTGCACGCCAGCCGGTGAGCCAGCATGGAGGAAACAAGGTTGTTTAAAATAAGGATACGCCCTTTAAAAGAAAGTTTGGGAAGGATCCACTTCCACTTCTTTAACCGGCCTTCCACTTTCTCTATAAGCCCGTCCCAGTTCTTCAGACAAAATGTGTCATCACCAAGATAAATACCCAGGTACTTTAACCCTGCCCTTTTCCAACCAAGGCCCCCAGGTAACACCAAGCTGTCAATACTGCCCTCTCCTACTGCTAAGGCCTCACTTTCCCCCCAGTTGACTCGAGCAGATGAGATTTTGCAAAAGTTGCTCACAGTTTCAGTTAAAACATTGATGTCATCTTGTTTTTTAACAAAGACCATTATGTCATCCGCATATGCAGACAATTTAAAAACATCCCTACAGCCAGGAAAAGAGAAACCCTGTAACTTTGACCTTAACCGGTGTAAAAAGGGCTCTATGGCCAGGGAGTAGAGCATCCCGGACAAAGAGCAGCCCTGTCGGACTCCTCTCTGAGCTTCAAAAGGAGCACACAAACTACCGTTTATCTTCAGTACACTCTCAATGTCCCTGTACAAGACCTGGATCTTGGCTATGAGACCAGAGCTGAACCCAAAAGCTTCCAGCGTCTGCCACAAGTACTGGTGTTCAACTCGGTCAAAAGCCTTTTCTTGGTCTAGAGAAATCAGACCAAGCTCACAGCCCAATGAACCGGAGAGGTCCAAAACATCTGGAATTAAAGTCACGTTGTCAGTTATCAACCTGCTGGGTACACAGTATGTCTGGTCTACGTGAATGACATGCTCCATCACTTTTCTCAGCCTCGTCGCTAACACTTTGGAAAGCAGCTTGTAGTCGGTACAGAGTAGAGACACAGGACGCCAGTTCTTAATCTCCTGCAGGTCTCCTTTCTTAGGGAGGAGAGTGAGCACAGCTCTCCTGCAACTCAGGCAACCTCCCGTTACTTAGACTGTCTCTGAGCACACTCAGCAGGTCGTCACCTATAACCGGCCAGAGAGCCTTATAGAAGTCTGCAGGCAGGCCGTCTATGCCAGGAGCCTTCCCACTCTGCATGCTCTGCAGGGCCTCCTGCAGCTCCTGGGCAGAGAGCTCCGCCTCCAGCTCAGCATGGTCCTCCTCAGGGACGTTAGGAAGGCCCTCATAGAACGACTGCGCCACCTCTGGCTCGGCCTGGAACTCTGTTCTGTAGAGCTCTTTGTAGAACTCCACAGCACACTGACGAATGGCGGCGGACTCCTGAAGCAGCTGCCCAGCATTGGATCGCAGGGAGTGCATCAGCCTCCTCTGACCATTCTTACGCTCGAGACCAGAGCTCTCAGAGATCTAGCCATGTCCTTTGTGACATTGAAAGTGTACTGTAGGCAAAGCTGCTTGATCTTCACTTTACCTACATCCCACCAATGCTGAAGAGAATTGTACTCACTCTTAGATAAACGGTAGTTTTCCCAAAATAATTAAAAAACATTTTAAAAATGGTTGTCGGCCAACAGAGAAGCATTAAAATGCCAATACGCACTATTACACTTAACATGATTAATAAAAACGTGACACATTTTGAAGTATATATTTCCTCTCCTTAGGCGGATGGAGACAAGCCGCTCCGTAACTTCCTGGATGACCCGAGACGTTCAGGCCCAGTGCCAGACATAGACCGCAAGGATGGCAGCCGGAGACATGTGCGGAACTGGGGGGGGCTGGACTTTGATAACGTCAAGACAGGAGGCGAGATGGAGAAAGAGTGGACTGTGAGTTCTGTCGTTTTTTTTAAAATGTCAGACCAGCAGGCAGCATAACCATTTTTCACTTCCTGCTGTAGCACTCATTAACCCTCCTGTCTGTAGAGTCGGAGGCCCGGTCCCAAAGACTCTACGGACATGACCATGTCTATGACCGGCCGGGAGAGAGCCGAGTACGTCCGCTGGAAGAAGGAGCGCGAGGAGATTGACGAAGAGAGACTCGCACGGCATCGTAACGCCACAGGCCAGTGGAAACGGGAGTGGGACGCACAGAAGACAGAGAACATGTGAGGAAGGGGATATTAGACCCTCATTAATCCTATATCTGAATATTTCTTTAATCTAGGAGTATAAGTAATACGTGTGTTAGTAATATATAAGAGAAGATATACTTCATTGATCCCAAATTGGGAAATGTTTTCGTTACAGCAGTAGTAAATAAACAAATACAAAATATAAACATTTCAAAATGGAAAATTAAACGGAACTAAAAAGTAAAATATATACAAGTTGATTTAAAAAGATTAAAATCTGTAGACTGTGATAAATACTCACTAAGAAGGGCCTGCTATAATTGTGTCTCTGACCCTGTGGCTTTTTTCACAGGTTTAAGGAAGACCCATATGTAACCTCAGAGAGCAGCACAACCGAGCAGGGCAGCAGGAGAGGCAAGTACACACACACACACACACACACACACACACACACACACACACACACACACACACACACACACACACACACACACACACACACACACACACACACACACACACACACACACACACACACACACACACACACTTGCACATACTCGTGTGCTGTTTCCAAGGTTATACAACAAAACAGCTGTCAGGAGTATGACAGCACACCCATCCCATGTCTCTGATCGTCTGACATCTTGTCACTCCAACATGTCACCACACACACTGTAAACACACCACAGGACACAGCACCACCTTCCTCCTCCAGCTAATTAAGGCGGCTATGTAAATAAGGCTTGATTAAGCTCCTTATGTAAACGCCGGCTGTATTTCCCCGGAGTCCAAATCCACCCCTCGTGCTGATCGTATGCCCTAGCCCAGTGGTTCCCAAACTTGTTGTGCCCAAGGCACACCAAAGGACAAGTAAAAATCTCAAGTCACACCTATTGTGCAAAATAGCCCTTATAACACGTGTTATCACTCATATCATGTAAAATATCTGTAAATGTGCATAATTATTTACTAATGGAAAATAAAATGTGACAAAGACAACTATATTACTCATGAAATATTTATTAACGAAATATTTCAGAAATTAATTTGAAACTTTATCAAATTAGGCTTCATCAAAGCAGCAACACACTCATTTAAACCAGACAGGTCACACAATTAAAAATGAGGCAAAGGAAACTCAGCAGAAATTCAGCACAGAGAACTGTCAATGCAAGGAAGCTGCATTGTCCATGGTCCTGAACTACAAATTATAAATGTAACATTTCAGCAATCAGCATTGAAACATGTGCTATTGTAAATATTTTTGCCGACTTACAAATTAGTGAGATACATGTGCCTGTCGGGGCGCTGAGAGGGCCACTCGCAAGTCCTGTTCAACAGAGAGCCGTGACCTCCTGTTGTTCTTCATGTAAATCAGAGTAGAGCACGCCAACTCCAGAGATGGGGTCGTTACTAAAAAAATGTAATATATTACACATTACTTAAAAATAAAAAGTTATATATTACACTACTTCGTTACTATCTGCATAAAGTAACTCGTTACTTTACTCGCCGAGCACGTACGAACTGCGCATGCGTGAGTGGCAATAACTTTCCTTACCAGCAGGCGGCGGTAGTGTGTATTTGTCATTCAAAACAGGCAACAACCGGAAGACAGAGAAGAAGCACAGACTACGTGATGTAAACAAACAACAAATATCGTGTGCGGTAGCTTCACCTTAGCATGTGTTCTTTGCAGGTTTTTGTTGAGGTTTGACGTGGTGTTTACAGCAGTGGATAACAGCTTCTGGCCTGGACACAGTTTGCACCTCACCGTCACATTCCTGTCTATTCTTCGGACGAACTCAAAATAATGGCCATACCTCCACCCCTCGAAAGTTATCGCTGACTCAGCCATGTTTATGCAGCACTACACGTGGAGATGTGGACGCGCAAATCGCGCAGATTACGTACATATAAACCTACAAAGTACTGATGTAGTAAATAAAAAAATAATTATTTTTGTGTAGTTGTATATTGCAATAATAACGTATGGTTGTCACACAATCCCACGGCACACCCGGACTTGCCTCATGGCACACCAGTGTGCCGCGGCACACCGTTTGGGAACCACTGCCCTAGCCACACGGTGACGAAACGGGTTGTATCCGCTACAGTTCTCTATCTTATAGACCAGTGGTTCCCAACCTGGGGGGCGCGCCCCCCTTGGGGGGGCGCCAAAGATCGCAGGGGGGGAGCAAGGCCTCTATTTGAGGCCAAATATCATATTTTTTTTTTACATATAATTGTAAAGCAATATATGATTGTCACTAAAAGCCTTGTCTCTACATTACAATAAAATATAAAAAATAATTGATTAATTAATTTGAATAAAAATTCAAGTTAGTAGCTAAAGGCATAAAAAGACAGAAATGTATAATTCTTTCTTTAATAGAAATGTTTCTTCTGCCCGTAAAGTGTCCAAACCTGGCTTTTCTGCATAAGCGCATTTTTAAAACATAGTCATTGTTCATGCCGGTTTCAGTTGGATTATTTGTCACAGTTGCTCCGATCAGATCGGTCTCCTCCATTTTGTAGATTATTTACGACTTTTGAATCCACATAAACACATCGGCAAAATCCGGCTTACTTTGATTATGTGTTTTAAACAGTTTAATCCCTTTGTGAATTGTTTCCACCTGCGCCGTCCTTTAATTTCTTCATACAGCGGGAATCCAAATGAATTAATCCTGAGTCCAATAACCATCAAAGTCACTCCAATAGTGCTCCTTAATTACGCTTTCATCCTCCTTTAACAAAATACTTCACATTCATCTAGTTTGTGACAGTAGTTGTAGCATTTTTGAGACTTTTAAACTTTACTTACCGCTGTATCGCCCAACAGGAGTCATTTGGGGGGGCTCTTGGGAAAAAAGGTTGGGATCCACTGTTATAGACGGTTCGGCCACACGAGGCCGACAGGGAAACGCGGATAACGATAACGGGTCCCAAGGTGGGTAGATCTGCGGACGCAACGCTCTGGGGGGCCAAACGGCTCCGTGATTACGCCCTATACCAGGGGTGCCCAACCAGTCGATCGCGATCGACCGATTCCCAGTCGATCGCGAGATGTGTCTAAAAATAGAACAACAATATTCTGTTTTATCGTTAACATATATAACATAATCTTCCTGTGCCAGAATAATGCACTTGACGCATCAAAGCTTTGTGATTGGCCGGCGTGACCCCATGTGTCGGGGCGTGGCTGGTGGGCAGTGGGCACTATTTCGCTGACGTTGTCCGTGTCAACACAGGAGTGACAGTCCGCACACACACAAGACCGCAATTATGGCAGAAGCAAAAAAGCCCAAAATATATAATTTTCACTCCGAGTGGGAGGATGATTATTTTTGTATCTTTTCCAATTCAAAGTCCATCTGTCTCATCTGCAATGCGAGCGTGGCTTTATTGAAGAAGGGTAATTTAGGAGCGGCATTTCAAAACAGTGCACAAACGCTACGAGACGGAATTCCCTCCTAATTCTGCCCTACGCTCCCAAAAGGGGAGGGGCCTGAAAGGACAGCTAAATGCACAGCAGTCCATTTTCACCAGGCCCAACAACAAGAGCAAGGCTGCTACCATAGCATCTTATCGTGTCAGTCACGTTCTTGCGAAACACATGAAGTCTTTCAAAGACGGCGAAGTTGTGAAAGAAGCATTCCTGGAGGCTGCCGACGCGCTTTTTGGGGACACTAAAAATAACAGTAGCATTTCAACAGGTTTTTGATATAATAAAAACTCAAGTTAGATACCGTTATTAATCAGCTATAAGTTTTAGTTTGTTTGAACTTATTCATTATAATTATTGTACAAAATGGTATAAGAATGCAAACTTAAATTGATTATAGTCTATTATCAATTCAGGTTAAGAAACTAGTGTTGCTTGCATCCTATTTTGAAGGCATTTATTTTTATACTCTACTAAAATGCATCAAAAAAAGGGTTTGATTCTATTAATGTTGTCTTTTTTATTGCACTTTGGCAGCAGATTCCTGTGTAGCTTCAGATCTGAGTTGTCTTATTAGTAAGCCTAATTTATACTTTTGTAGCAACACTATTTTTATATAATGGCAAAAAAAGGGTTCAGAGTCTTTTCTTTTTTTCCTGTGTCATATGTGGCAGCACTGTTCAATGTTTCTTGAACTCTGTATCAACAACACTGTTGTGTAACTTCAGTTAAATACTTGTATGTGTGTAGATTAGAAAGAGGTAAGATAAAGGATCTGCAGTATTTTATGAAGTATTAATCGTACAAAGGTCAGTTTTATACAAGTAGAAGTGTGTATTTACCTGGTCAGTAATGGCTACGCCTGGTAGATCTCGGCAGACTGGCAACTTTAAAAGTAGCTCTCGGTTCAAAAAAGGTTGGGCACCCCTGCCCTATACGATCATTTCCTGATAACGGAAATACTGACGGGCTGTCAGGAGAGGGGGAGGAAAAGAGAGACTCCGTGTATTCTTATATGATTATATAGAGTCGTTATTCATTTGTTTTAAAGCTCAATAAATAACAAAGAAGACCTTTGGCAATTTTATAATTTTGTCCGGAAGATTTCAACTTTAACGCACATGTTGACCAGCGAAAAGAAATTCTAACGGAAACTCTGCCGCATGGTTCCCTCGTCCCTTGGAAGAGGCGGAGAGGTGGGTGTTTTTCATCTGCTGGTGGACTACCGGGGAGATTCACAGCCGGAGCACATGCTTTCCTCGGGGAGGGAGAAAAAGAGAAACAGCCAAAGCCCTGCCTCTCCCCACCTCTGCTGCTAAATCCACCGCGGAGAATAAACAGAAGGGCAACCATGGCAACCATGCATGCTCGGGAAGTCTTCTTCGCTGCTTTTGGTGTATTTTGTGGCGGAAGTACAGCGCCACTTACAGGCCCGGCATATGTAATAATAATAATAATACATTACATTTATAAAGCGCTTTTCCTGGTGCTCAAAGCGCTTACAAGCAAGTAAAACAAAATAACAACAAAAGTAAAAAAGTGCTAAGCTAGGTGGAATAAGGGCAAGGGGTTAGTTGATTAGAAGTTGAAGGCAAGAGTGAAAAGGTGAGTTTTGAGGGATTGTTTGAATGATGTGAGAGTGTTGGCGGATCTGACGTGGCTGGAGAGGGAGTTCCAGAGTGTGGGGAGGCTGCAGCGAAGGCCCTGTCACACCAGGTCCGGAGCTTTGTCCTGATGGGCTGCAGTAGGTTAGCTTCAGCACACCTGAGGCGACGGGTGGGGGTGTGTCGTTGGATGAGGTCACAGAGGTAGGGGGGGGCAAGGTTGTTGAGGGCTTTGAAAGTGAAAAGTAATATTTTAAAGTCAATGCGGTGTTTGATGGGGAGCCAGTGGAAGTCATGGAGGATAGGGGTGATGTGGTCGGAGCATCAGGTGGAGGTGAGCAAGCGGCCAGCTGAGTTTT